GACGTGAGATGGTCACACGAAGCTAAATTTATTGATTAGACCAAGGACAGTATTTTTGAAATCTACTAATCCACTCAATTTTAAGAAGCCTACCATTGGAGAACTTAGAGCGACACATTTGGCAGGTGTTTGCTCAACTGATTCTGCCAATATTTAGATCATTTTAACCAAAATGTCTTGAAAATAAATCACACGACGCAAACTTCTGGCTGCAGCGTGCGTTGACAGCCAACTGTCAGACTGTCATATCATATTCCCTGGGACATCGATAGTTGAGTGAGGTGATTCTGGGCTAAGTCCCGGGGAAACGGACAGTTGGTAGGTGAAGTGAGAGCTGTTGTCATCGTTGCAACCCCCAAATTACGGAGGGCGTACTTTAAATTAGAGAGACAAATGTTTTGGACTGCAAGGTAAGCAACTTACTTTTGTCCTTATGTTTTACGACAGCGACGCACTAATGTTAAAGTCTTTGTTTGGTGAAAAATTATAAGTGTCGGAATGAAAAAGAACAATTACTCTTTGCAATCACGCATAGTATCCATATTTTGGCTCAAAATTTGAATGTTTTTGTAGAAACAAGCACCTTAGTGGTATATTAATAGAAGAAGGTTAATCTTTTTACTGGTCTGGTTGGTTTTGAAGACCTGATTAAGTCCTATCCCTCGATGTCTGTGCGACTAACCTCACTAATGAAAAGGGCAGCCAAGAGTAAGGCCACAAATCGATTTTAATGTTCGCTGATACCCTTTAAAACATGCATCAACACTCGCCCACACAAATTAACACAAAGTCTATAACCTGGGACATTAAGTGGAAGTCGGCAGATCAAACCCGGGAAACTTTCTTGTGGATATCTCCAAAAAACGGAGACATTAGTCGAACCTAGGTGATCCTTCTTGCACAAATGAATTGAAATCACCTGCGGCAGTCGGTGATGTTCCGATTGAAACGACTGCATCTGCTACCTGCGCACTCCCCGATTCTATGCTTCAAACAAAACAAAACACATTGTTACACTTACTTCATCTCATAATTTACCGAAATCACACAATTGACCAGCTGTACGTTACCACCATAAATGTTCGTTTTCATATAAACGGCTGTCTCGCTTTAAACAAAGCACACATCTGAGGGAAACCGTTGTTTTGTATCATCTTTGCATGCTGCAAAGATGCACTCAATGTCTGCTTGTCTGCAGCCATCAAATTACCAGAGTAAAACAACTAATCCATTCAATTCAGTTAAGGTCATAGTTTTCAATATTTTAAACCCTACAGCGTAGTCATGGGCGCCTGAAACGGTTTGTGTGATGTGCATCTGATTTGGACCAATCAGATGCTCATTCTAGTCAAGGCCACGGACGCGGTATGCGAACAGCACTGAATAATTTCTTTTATTGAAGCTCCCTGATATTTTACCGAATCAGGCAATCGTGCCGTTCGTAGGCAGTCAAGTCAATTGAGTGATGAAAGATGTACGAAATTTTTTTCACAAAACGAAAACTGTAACAGACGCAAAGCGAATAAACTGAAACTAGAGGTTTAATAATAACTGGTTACTGGGCTCAAAAAAGGAAACCGAGGCAACTGGGACTGAACGAGTTGAATGGGGACGTCATTTAATAAGCATTCAGATCTGTTTGCTAGGTGATTTAAGCCTGTCAAAATCAAATGAAGCTTAATGCTACATTTCGACTTTGTACAAGTATTTAAGAACTGGAAGAATTTAATAAAATACTAGAGGGTTTTGTTTAAATCGATTATTGATTTCGTATCTCAGGGTTACGCAATCACATGACAGTCTTATTGAAATTTGAGCCTTCTACGATTTCGAGCGTCATGTGCTTTTGTGGAGGAGTATTGTTGGTAAACTTTAAAAAAACCTATTAAAAACCTATTATGGACCAAAAATATCACAAACTAGAGTGTTGAATTAATCGCGTGATTCGTGTACACGGTTGCATCAAGTTAGCTCTGTGATCCACAGACAAAGTCCTTCAGATCCTGACTAATGGCCCGTATCGACATGCAACCAAAAAAGGGCTTTTTTCGAAACCTTAAATCCCAATTCGATGAAACAAATTGCCTCACGCGCAAGATTGTTATTTCTCTTACTGATCTTAGTGGTTTGGTTCGGAAACTTTAAAAATCCTCTCCTTCGTGCTTCGATTTCATAGTAAATACTTTCAGCACTTTTTTCAATTAGAACAATATTTGTCATTCTCCAAGTACTGTCACTCAAAATTGTCAAATTTTGATTTCAGTTCGCGTGAAAACACTGGTAGGGCTTTCTTCAAAATACAATGTTTGAACAAGTGGAAGGTCAAGGTAAAAGGCAAGCTGCGAGTGATGCTGGTGGATGCAGAATTTCACATCCCTACGTTTGTAATCAGGTCTTGTTGTTATGGTGAAAGATGGTGCCCTGCTTGTTGCCGAGATTTCAACACTGAGTTGGATGTGGTGCCCACAACAGTTCTTCCTCTGGAATACCCATCCAAGAAGGTAGCAACCCTTTAGCCATCACAATAGATCCCGCTTTGGTTTGATTGAAGAAATAATCATTCAAACAGTCAAAAATGCTTGTTTTTGCCATATTTTAAACTCAGAAACCAACATTTTCAATCACCCAACTGAGCACAACTGCAGCGGTGTCGTAAGTAAAATTTAGCGCCAAAGCAGAACCACTAAATGTCTGAAAAATTTCACAAAAATATGGATTAAATTCAAAATAGGCCAACCCATTAATATTCTGACAAGTCACCAGTTCCTGCGTAGACACAAACTGCGTCACGCAGCTGGAAACATCAAATAAGCAATACTTTCCAAGAATTGTCGGTTTTCATTCAGTTCCGGACACGCAAGTTCATTGGTCGAAAGCGTGGTAATGTAAATATCACCGCCGACTTGGTATTTAGCTTTGCAGGTTCGTGGTAAAGTAGACTGAACAACTTCGACCTTACCTCTTCGGCTTGGTTTGTAGCTGGCCATGAACAAAAGTAGTATGTTTTGGTGACTTTATTTTTGGGGATTCTCTTTTCACATTGCAAAATCACGCCAATGTTTAAATTCACAAACACAAAACAAATGTTAATTTGCACATGTGAATTAAATGGCTCAAACCGGAAGTCAAGAATTGGCGAGAATAAAATGATCTCCTGTTCTTCTGACGTCACACACGAAAATCATAAGAACCAACCAACCTGAAATCCCTACTGGACTAAGCAATATTTTTTTCAATTTTGTACAGATTTCAGCATGCAAACATACATTTACGCGCTTTATGTGTGGAGACTTTAACGTGAAGCTTTTGCAGCATCTAATTTCACCGACACTGTCATTAAATTAGCAGTCTGGCAGTGATTTTGATTCGCAGTATTATTTAAAAATTGTAGATATTGATTATGTGTGGACATTAAGAATTTTAAAACAAAATTACTTGGATTCGGATCCTTGGAGAGCAAAATGCATTTTTTTGGATGTTTGCAGTAATAAGGCTGGGAATATAGGTTTTTCGTATAAAGCGCTAGTCACACAGGTGCATACTTCGACGTGGACAAGTAACCAATAGGAACGCTGCGAGACATGAGCCAATTAAAGGCACGGATTTGTAGAAAGGGTGTTGGGTGGTAAGGCACACGGTTTATTGCGGTTCGCCTTACTTTTAACAATAAATGCTGTCAATAAGTTCATTTCTATGAAGTAGTGTGAACTGATTAAGTCATTGGCGTTCAAATAAACCGCTTAAAAATCCATAACGGGTGATTGGCTCAAATGGAACATCTACCAATTTCAAATGCACTTCCAACCTTAATTAGCACTGAATTAATTGAGCTCGAAACTAAATTGACTGAGTCATTGTTTAATTTAACTTAGAGCGACGGCTGCGACAATCAACATTTAAATGCAAGCTGCAAATCCTTTTCACATGTCTCTCATCGTCAGACCGTATATTCGAAGTGGTCTGTCGTGGCAGTTTTCGAGATGGTCAATGGATAACATCCTTTTGCTGTTGAGCGACATAGCCGAACACTTCAGAGGTGTGTTAGTGGCACAAAAAATAATGTGAATATATTCGCAGATATTTTAGACAAATACTACTTTCTTCAAACACTTGATCAGTTGAAGCTTAACTCCATGATCCAGACCAACACCGAAAAACTACCGTGTGGATCTACTTTCTTGAGGTTAGTGGAATGCTTGAAAGTGAACTAGGAGCTACACGATCCCAGTACCTATTGAAGAGAAACAGTAGGTAGGCGACATTCACAAAATCACCTTAGTTCTATGCATCCTGATCTAGATTTGGTCACTGGGGTAAGACTATGGAGCATAAAAGCTCATGCGAAGCTGGTAATCTGATTAAAATTTTAAGTACATCCATCAAGAGTGCTACGTAGGAGCACCGATAGCCCTTCGGTTGCAGACAAATGGCCAGAGAGACGGCCCAACGCATAAAACGGTACCCTGGTTGAAAAGGGACGTTTTTGATTGCTCGAACTATAGACGAATGGGAGTGATGGTTAGGCTTGTGGTTAGAGTGGGGAAATATGTAATACAACTCAAAAACTCAATTTTTCCGTGTTATCTCATGCACAATCCAGCGATTTCCGGACAATAAACAGACGAGAGTGCTCATCTAGTCAGTTTATGTCCCAACTCTTAAAAATGAGTTAGGAAAATCTACGACCAGGATAAACAAACGGTACACAAACGCCCAATCGCGTTATTGCAGGTGACAACTCGCCACCACGGCATTTCGAACACATTCTATGAATAACATCGCGGAGATCATTTGATTCAGAGCGCTGAATCGTTGCTCTTGAATGATTCCTGCAGACAAGATCAGAATTGGCGCTTCAACGAAGATGTAGTGAATCGGTAGTCGCAGCCTCACACACTCGTCCCCCTTTTCACGGCACGCCCGTCAATCACGCGGGGCCGCCTGCGTATTCACATCTTTGCATGTACCACCACCACGACCCGCTTTATGCACGTGGCCATTTAGATGTCCGCATTTTTTACGAGTTCACTCAAGCATATCAGGCCCAAAACACAACTTAGTTGGGCGGTTTAGTAAGCGGTTGTGCCTTGTTCTCTCCGGTCTTTGTCTTCGCAAGTACTCAGTGTTGCGTAATCGGGTTAAATTCAACGCAGCAAAACATTATCGGCTCCCTTTTGAAGAATATGTACCAGAAATACACTGAATGCTTAGATTTCAAAAGCAATGCTGAGAAATAGGAGTGAGAGAGGGGACAAGGTTTGGGAACCCCCACAAATAATTCATTGAGGATTTTGTCGATAAGCTAAAAGAGGGTAATTTTGCCTGTAGCCGTGAGTCGAGGATCAAATTTCAGCGCTGCAGGCAAAATCAAACATTTTCAGCATAGTTTGCTAGCCTATTTTTTGTAGAAATCAAACAACAGTTGAAGCGCTTACTATGCTGATTGCCTGAAAAGTACTCACTTCTACGGATTTTCACCCACAATCCTCCTGGTCGACCAAACAACTCTGATGGTGACCAAATCAAATCGCCACAATTTGAGCCAATGAGAAGACAGAGGGGTATACGACAAGAGAAGCAGATTTATTCTGTGCGAGTTGACAGGTACGACGTCAAATGTTTGCAAAAATACTCGGATTAAAACGTTTACTGTGTTTGTGTGCACAATTAAAGTTAGCGGCGTAAACACAAACCCATCACTACTAAGACCGCAAAGTAAACCATGAGTAGAGGAGTTAATAAAGAAACCAATTTTGATGCATTCTATGCTACAAACACACACACACACAGGCAGGTAGGGAAAACAACTGCAGAGCGATTGAACCAATAGCCTTGAGCGCACGTTCCACCAATCAGGCCCGCACCTTCGTGTTCTCGGGGAGAACCACACCGCCTGGACCGGGCAGCACGCTGTTCCCCATCAAGTCAATATCCACCTGACGGGCCGCTTGTCGACCTTCGTTGATTGCGTGGACCACGAGCGACTGGCCACGACGGCAGTCTACAAGTGACAAGGATGCACCGAGTCTAGATTTCATCTCGTTAGTCGAGTTATAATCAACCACCACAGTTGATCCTACCCCAGTCATTCAAAGCGCAATATCGTCGGTTAAAAAAAGGAAATCGTGTATGAGACATGATTAATTGATTTCTGAGGGGTGGATAATTACGAGTCTCCATCGTGGTCACAAACGCTAAATTTAGGAGTGCGCAATAAATAAACGCCTTCAAGACTGCGCGGTATTTTTATGTCTGTATCTAATTAATTAAAACAAAACTTGACTAGAAATTCTGACTTCTATTTTGGTCTGTCAATTACAAATTTGGAATAAAAAGCACGGCTAGGAGTTTACAACAATTTATGATTTACTGAAATCATTCATTAAATGGAAAAATGCACAATTGAAAGACTGTAAAGAACGATTAACTTTCTTAATTGAGGCTTCAAAAGTGTATTGGATTTTTTGGTGCAAATAGTCCCAAAGAGACAGTAAATATAAGAAAATCTTAATCTGAACAACTAAGTCTGGTAATAGATGAATAATCAATATTCGGTGTCACCCTCGTTAACAAACTCAATTCTAGCCATGTTCTCAAAATCTCACAGATTGCCCTGGGGGCATGACGAACGTAATTCAAATTGAACTCGACACGAACCGGATTTTCGTACAGGGTGAAACGGACGCCTGATGAAATTCAACGTCTGTACCCACAGAAGAAAGTCTAGTGTGATAAAACCCACTTAGGTGAGATTTGTGTCTCGTAAACCACAGGCCAATTAGATGTCTTTGCTGTCTAAGTTGCTGAGATTTAAGAATGCAACATGGCGGCGTTCGAATCTATCCCAAGCGGACTGCGGGAGAAGAGTCAGATTATTGAGGGTTCGTACTTGAAACACGTTGTCAGCCAGTCAATTCGGCGAAACAGTGGAACAACACGAGCGATTTCCAGCATGGAAATGACTTCCCCATTTTCCGATCCACATTCGCTAGGCGTTTTGGGGAGGTGATCGAATGTGGACAAAGAAACAACCCATTTTAGTTCCGATAGCAGCCAAGGTCATGTTCAAGATTAAGTGTGGTTGAAACTGTTTTAACCAGGGTGGGGAAGGTAACAGGTACGAAGGAAAACATGTTCGATTATTGTAAGTTATCATTTTCTTATATCAGGTACCTTTTCGTAATTAACCAAACACAGGAGAGAACTTGGCAGACCATTGGCACACAGATATGGTAATAGCAAAACTTTAATACGACTCGTTTTCCAATTGAAGAGCTAGGTGCACAGTGAGTTAATTAATTTGGTGGAACAACACGCACAATTTCCAGCTCGACGCAGGATGCGTACTCACAACTAACACGGAGAAAGAAAATCTGTTTTTATTATTGTAGCAGCACCCAAGGTCCTGTTTAAACTCGCCCTTGCAAGGTTGGGTGTGTTTCAAAAAACCAGTCGAGCATCACTCAAGGTAATACAAGTTTGGCACGTCCACAAACGCCAAAACCAATCGTGTGTCTGAGAGGGTTTAAAGTCACATTGAACCCAGAGAAGATGACACTTGGTGAGAAATAGATACCAGTCAGGCTTCTGTCCACTGCTCAGACAACCTCCCAGACTACCGATCGTCATGCAAACCAGTCGTGTTTGAACACTACTGATCATACCTCCGGCGGCGTAGACTCGTGGGACGGAGGAGACATAGTGTCCGTTGGGTGTTTTGATGTTCGACCGCGCGTCGCATTCCAGAACCAGTTCCTCCAGGACAGACTTCTCGGGTCCAAGGAAACCCATCGCGAGGAGCACCAGGTCGCAGTCCAGTACCCTCTCGGTGCCTTCAAAACAAACAACATGCTGTAACATCGTGCTCATTTACAAACAACAATAACAACTCGGTCGCTGCATACTTCCACACCCCGATACCCCATTTCACTGTCAGCTCAAACGTCCCGGGACTTGTACCTCCCCCTGGATAGTCGTTTTACTCATCTAGTCATTCCGTCATTTGACCACTCATTAGCTATGGTCGACTTTGAGGACATCCACGCAAACGACACTAAGTTGAACTACCAACTTGATCATCAGGGGCCATTTCAACGAAACGGTCATGGTGTGGTTCAAGACCGCATGTCGAGACATTCAACAAACACCTTCAGGAGCCCTGTTAGTTGAAGCCGTGAGTAGTCAATTTGGTTGGGGTTTAGCCTACTACTTGAAGAAGCATTTTAGTGAACGCGGACAGCTAAATACGAATCACAGATGGAGATCGGAGCACAAATCGGAACAGTGGCAGAACAGGCGTACCTGGAACCTCGACCATATTCAGCCTTCCGTCCCCAGACTTCTCCCATTTGACAGACACAGTTCGGAGACCCGCAACCGACTTGCCATCAGGCGTAGGAATGAACTCCTTCGTGAGAATATTGAAGTTACGCGGGTCCTTGCCGAAACGCACTGTGACCTCCTCGTGGCCGTAGTCGGTGCGGAAAATGATCGGCCATTCTGGCCAGGGGTTTGTCTGGTGATCGCGAGAACTCGGCGGAGGTGACATGAGTTCCAGCGTCTCGATGCTTTCGGCGCCCTGTCACCAAAAAGACCACAAATACACCGGAATGACGAGTAGACGGTGGAATTGGAGGGGGGGCGGGTAGGTAGGAGGAACACAACTCGCCTGTCGTGCTGCCGTGGCCATACAATCCACACCGGTGTCACCACCACCGAGGACAACCACGCGTTTGCCTTTGGCCAGGGTTGCCACGTCGGCGGAAAACTCCTGTTTGAGCAGCAGCTCTTCCATCGGTTTCACAGCCGCCGTGTGGCTCACATTTTTGCCCAGCTTTCGTTGCCATCGTTCGAGGAAGCTCACAGCAAAGTGGATTCCATCAAGGTCTCGACCTGATTCAATAAGATATCGATAATGTTAAACACGACATGATATTGCCGTATGCAACATCAAGTTGAAATGGACTATTGCAAGTACTTTACCTTAGACTAAGAATGAGATTTAAGACTGAAACGTCTAAATCCTGTAGATATTTAACCACACCCGAGCTTCTACCTGTTGAAAGCAAGACATGCTGCCTCCAATACCAATGCTACGATCAGCGGCATCCTAATAAAAGCTGCAGCTTTCTTACTTTGAATTTCGCGTTTGGTAATTTCGATTTCTTACCGGGAACATTGATATCACGCGGCCAGGTGGATCCTAGACACAGGACAACAGCGTCGAAATCCTGAAGTAGCTGCTTTGCGGGTATAACGGTCACCTGACTTCCAGCGGGTTGACCACCAACCTGGGTGTTGCAGACGAATTCGACGCCATCAGCACGCATGAGGTCGAGACGTCGATCTAGTATGCGACGGTCAAGCTTCATTGTTGGAATGCCATAGCGCAGAAGACCTCCGGGAAGATCGCGGCGTTCCAGAACCACGACCTTGTGCCCGACCTACGCGAAAGACGCACAGAAGTCTTTCAATTGAAGTGAACACGTTAGTAGTCATGTGAAATTGACGCGATCCGTGAAAGTTGGATCAAATCAGCCACAACTGTGGAATCGTTTCGAGAAAGAAATCTCCACAGGACTCCACAAAAGAGGAGTTGAGGTGCAGGTAGGACAACAAAACTCACCTTAATTAACTGAGCAGCACAAGCCAGGCCAGCGGGACCCGATCCAACGATGGCAACACGCCTTCCAGTCTGCTTCGAGAGCGGCACAGGTCTGGGAACATTGAGTCCTCGTTCCCAACCAACCTCTCCGATGGCGCACTCAATGTTTTTGATGGTAACAGGTTGGTCGATGATGCCGAGCACGCATGCGCCTTCACACGGCGCTGGACAAACACGGCCAGTGAATTCTGGGAAATTATTGGTCTGGACCATCGCGTCGTGAGCCGCATTCCAGTTGTCCTAAAGAGGACCATGCAGTTTCGGAAACAACTCAAAGGTGCTGCCGTGGTGGTAGTAGTAGTAGTGTTGATGAAGAAGACATCAAAAAATCGCACCGACTTTTCGCTAACTTGACTTCATCTAGCACGTGCTTAAAGCCAATGCCACTAACGAGTCATTAGAATTCACGGGTCGTATCGCTTTAAAAGTATTTTCCTTAGGGGAGACAGTCGATTTGTATTGAAGTGAACCAACAAGTGCAATTGGACTCACGTTGTACACAAGATCGTTCCAATTGGGAATCTGGTTGCCAAGGGGACATCCGAAGCTCGACTGACAGAATGGCACACCACAGTCCATGCATCGCGCTGCCTGTGTTTTGAGGGTCCTGCGTATGCTTCGATGCGCGTACACCTCTGCCCAGTCGTTGAGGCGTTCGTCCACCTGGCGATACTTGAACTTCGTGCGTGGATACTTCACGAAACCACGTAATTTATCCGGCTTCTCCTCAGCGACCTCGCCAGAACCGAGGACGTCTTCAATGTCGCCGTTCACATGACTCTAAATTACAACCGTGACGGAGGGATTAATGGACGACAGGACGCTATAGTGCTATAAAAACCAAGTAGAGTGACCTACGGTGACTGATTCTGCGTTGGTTTTCGCGGCATCTCCATTCGTGAGCGCAGCCTTCTCAGCTGTTGTGTCGGCTGAAGGTGCGGATGAAGCAGCAGCGAGGGCAAGTCGGTATTCGTGGGGGAAGACCAGAACAAAATTGCCCAACTCCGTATCCCAGTGCTTCAAGATGTTACGCGCAACCAAGGAACCGGTCTCGTCGAAGAAGGTCTTGATGATTGTGAACAGCCACACGGTGTACTCGTTCTCTGGCGTCATGTTCTCCAGGCTCACGAGCTGTCGGTTGCAACGCGCCTCGAAGACCTTGTCGGCGTCGTAGACGAAGGCCAGACCGCCAGACATGCCCGCGGCGAAGTTGCGACCCGACCGACCAAGCAACACCACTCGGCCACCCGTCATGTACTCGCAGCCGTGGTCGCCGCAGCCTGGAAAAGAAGGAAGAACGAATGTGATCCCATCTGCAGTGTCAAAAATGCCCTAGTCATAGAGTGTCTGAAGTCTACCACAACTCACATGGACGGTTGGAAATCTGCTCTTGTAATGCATTTGTGGCTATTTGGACGTAATTTGTTAGATTCTGTGCAACAGTTGGTTAACCCTACCGAGTTACATGGTAGATAGCCTGATTTTCTAGGCGGATTAAGTGTTAAATTTGTGTTTTTCGATGATTCTCAACAACAGAAATCGGTTATACGATGTGCAGCAGTAGGAGTAGGAGCGCACACATTAGCGACAAAAACGCCAGGAGGATACCCTTGACCATTAAAAATTTCATGACGTTCGGCCACGGCTGTGAGGAATGTGGGAGCATCGGGTCGGAACGATGTGGAAAATCGACCAATCGAGTAGACATGTTAATCGGCAAATCTGACTTCAAGCTGCCACCAAGTTTACCTAGGGCTATTTGACCTGAAACCTCACTTGTTCTGAGCTGAATCACTCACGGGATAGCCATCTGAAAAGAGGATTTTCAAACAACCAATGAAGGCTATTTAAATTTCTCAACAGGTTATTATTTGACCAGTAAAAGCCAGCCAGCTTGTCCCAGTCATAACCGCGAGAATCGAAACCATTGGTGAAAAAGTTACTGCTTGAAGAGTTGTGCAGACTCTGAACTGAACAGCAGTCTGATGGTGCTACGAGATGAATGCGCGGCATGACCTCCTAACCAGCTCGGTTGGAGCAGGACTCCTTCTTGATTAGCTGATTCCAGTTTTCTTCCTTTCATTGCTTTCTTTGAATCGATCGTTTAATGCCTTGGACACAGTGCTGAATTAGGCTGACGAAACCAACAACTTGACCATCCTCAATACCGATGATATTTCGAAGCTGTTTTAGCTATGGTCACAGTCGTTTTCGACGGATGCGAACCTGATAGATTCATTTTGTTCCCTTCCAGTGGTGAGTTATTCCAAAGGCACTGCTTTGGAGACGTCTACCGCAAATGTCGAAACGTTACGTAGAGTGAATTTATCTTAGTTTGTGCGCAGTCCCAAAGAATTCTGTGTGATTTCGCGTTGTCGCGTGTAACACAGACAACAATACCTTGCCAAACAGGTGCATAAAGACTCGATTAAATGGTGGATTTGATCAGCTTCAGTGGGTGAATTAGAACGATGCTGGTCAGGTTGGAGTGAAAAATCACCAATCCTGACACGTGCCGCCTGTAGAGCAGTCAGCCCCACGCACACCTCATATATCCCACCCAAGAACCACTGAAAGGGCTAAATCGTTAAATTGGGAGGTCTTTTTCTTAAGAAATCATCGATTTGCGAAAACCGAACTTATTACCTTGCATATTTTTGAAACCAGGCGTTGAAAACTGAATAGGCCGTGAAGTCGTTTTGACATTTGCCTGCACAAATATGCATCCTCGTGTCGTGCAGTAGATTCAAATAGTTGTTGTGATTAGCCTTTATTCACACCCCTTAATCCGGTCGCTCCAGCCTCCGACACAGGGTTCCCCTTTCCGCAGCGTGTCGCCAGCCGCGCGGATCCTCAACTCCCCCCTCATTCACTATGCTATTTATCTTGGATTATCCTCACACCTAGGTCTCGATGTTAGCGCATGTATTACTCACACATCCGAGGTATAAATACACACGTGCAAACTCTACACACTCGACACAACGACACCAACGCAGTTGAGCTTGGAAGTAAGTGGTTGTGTACACGTCCTCTCCGGTCTTTTCATTCATCGCGGGTATCAGTGAAACGTAATCGGGCCAGGGTTAATTTCGTGGCCCCGGCGAGGTTCAAGAACACATGTTGGGGCCCACTACATAGTTATCCCAAATGATTTCGCTTTGGAAATGGAACGACAACCTAAGAGATCGATTTTGCGGGAGGTTCAGACTAACTGATCATCGTCATGAACACAAACCAACCTTCAGCAACGACAATAGCGCCGGAATTGCGGACACAGAACCTCTCAGCAGCTTGGCCACGGATGAAGACACGACCTTCGATGGCACCGTAGAGGCACGCGTTCCCGACGATGATGTGGTCCTCTGAGTGGAAGTTCTTTGTGAGGAGACGCGACGCAGGCACTATGGTCACGTAGCCACCTGAGAGTCCCTTCGCCACGTAGTCGTTGGCGTCGCCTGCTAGACTCACGTACACACCCGGTGCCAGGAAGGCGCAGAACGATTGACCCGCGTGTCCGCGAAGGTTGACCTTAATTAAGGGAAGTACACTCATGATTGGCTAGCCATCAACCAATCAAAGGACAGTGTTTTCAAGTGACACCCAAATTTTCTGGCTTCTGTTGTTTCACTGACCTAGTCTGCTCTAGTTTGTTTAGCGCATCTTATAGGGTTAATATTTCTGAAGCGCAATTAGTCAGTTTACAATTGGCATCTGGTAATGGTTGTGTTCTGGGCACTCAAGCAATAAAGGAGCGTGCTGTTGTGTTTTGGTGCTGACTAAAAGCAAAAAAACAATAAAATATCCGCAAGGCACTCCCTAACTGTCCCAGTAACAACCCACGTGCAAATATCCACCCACATTTCTTAAATTGACCTGATTCCCACCAATTCAAGACACCAATATTTACTCATCGCTAGAAGTTTACTGTCTTTTGATTATTAGAAGGAGAAAATGCGGTACCTCTAGTCTTCTGGTCTTCGGAAGGCCTGCTTCGTTGTACTTCATGGAAATCGCGTAGCTTAAGGACGCCCCGAAGGCCCTGTCCTCGTTGGTGATGGCTCCAGAGATCCGCACGACCGGCAGCACGTCGACGCCCGGTGTCTCGATGAGCGGAATCGCCGCGATCAGCAGACGTCTGTCCCAGTGGCGGTCTGGGGGCAGAGAGCGTGCCAGACGCAGCGTCGGAGAGGCCTCTGCGCCGCCTTGGAGTGCCGTATCGATTATGTCGAGGGAGGCCATTGAATCCCACACCAGAAGGCCAGGCGGACGTTGATCGAAAATGAGGTCCTTGAAGTGGGAGACTGGCATCGCGAGTAGCGGCGATAGGTCGAGCAGTGCCGCTTTGTCATTGGTGGGATTGACGCGTTGCTATAGGTCATCGATAATAAAAATCAAAGACACTCACATACAACTGGTTATGTACTACGTAATGTGGTCATGTTTGCCTGTGGACGACGTAACTTATTCGTCTACCTTTTCACAACACACTGGATAAATACTAAGAACGGATACTCTACAAACACTTGCTGAAATAATGTCTTGTTTAATCCGCATTTGACGATGGTGCAAGCAGCCAACTTATTCTTGCCTGAAGCAGTTCTGTTCGTCCGGTTAGATCGTTTAATCGCGTGAAGCCAAGCTGTGACAAGATCTGTCGAACGTCCTCCGCGAGTAGGAAGAAGTAATTGATGAGGTGTTCTGGAAGTCCAGCGAACTTCCTTCGAAGAATCGGGTCCTGTGTGCAGATGCCAACTGGGCAGGTATTCAAGTGACACTTGCGCATCATAGTGCAGCCTAATACAATCAGCGGAGCCGTCGACATGGCAAATTCGTCTGCACCAAGAATGGCGGCGATGACAACATCTCGAGCTAAAAAATAATCACTACTTGTAAATAAAAAGTACAAGGTGGAACTGCCAACGGGGCGGTGAAGCGAACCTACCGGTTCTAATCTGTCCATCAGCCTGGAGAACGACCTTGGAGCGGGTGTGATTATTCACGAGCACCTGATGGGTCTCCGCAATGCCAAGTTCCCAGGGCAAGCCGGCATTCTTGATACCGGTCCAGGAACTGGCCCCTGTGCCCCCGTCGTGACCGGACACAATAATGTGTGCGGCATGCGCCTGCAAAAGAATAAAAATAACCAGTCCAGTCTCACATCCGAGGTGGTCACGAGCTACCACGAAAACTACTACACGTGGGATCACCGTGTGGGCATAGCCTAGCACACACAACATACTGTGCGATCGGAGCAGTTAGAGGGTCATGCTGATCCGATCCAAAAATAAGCCCGCAGTCTACAACGTTCACCCAGCTGACAAAGCTGGTGTGTGTGTGTGTGTGCGTACTGCCTGAAGTCGCATCGTGGCGGCAATTGTTTGCCAATCAGGTGTGTCTGGGTGTCAGTGAGGTTGACTTAAGCGTGACGACACCGATAAAGGCAGCGAACAAACACAAAATACACACACGCACACACACACAAACAAACACACACGAAACCAACAAGAGCGGGAAAGCGATAACTAGTCAACAGCGAATGCAAACTAGTAACCTGAAGACCCAGTTGTCCGTAGGCCTAAAGTGGAAAGCGCGAGGAGAGAAGTTAGGGTCATGTGATTATCCGAACAAAAAAACGGCGGGGAGGGGGGCATAATAGGCAATAGTGTGAGGGTAAAATGACAGCACGGGGCGAACCTTTGCAACTCCAGACGCGATGACGCCGACGCCAACTTCGGAAACCAACTTGACGCTAACCACGGCTATTGGATTGGCTGCCTTCAGGTCGTAGATGAGCTGTAAGGGTGTTTATACGATAAAACGATTGGACAGGTAAACAGATAACAAGGAAAGAGATACGCATACGGAATTAGTTGAATGAAAGTGGTAATTCAGGCGTTGCACTGCTAGCCAATAGGATGAAAGAAACAGGGGCTGGTGGGTTTAAACTAATGCAAACTTGTGATTTCTTCAACGAATGCCAACGGATTGATTTCAACAGTTAGGACGTTTATAAAAACCAGTATTTTTGAAATACTTCGAAGAATATTAATCCAATTCAACACTGATATACGGTCTATAACAAAAAGGAAACAAAACGCGAAATTTGATCGGCTGGTTGACAGAGTATGGCAGCACAGGTGCTGTACTGCTGGCCAATAGCATAAAAGAACAAAGGTGGGTGTATTTCTCAAATAATACAGATCCGTGATTTCTTCGGCGGATGCCAAAGAGCTAATTCCTGTTCGTTAAGCACGGCTATCGGATTGGATGGAAATATAGTAGCCAATCAAACACTAAAACAGGAATATGATATTTACGAAGACGTAATCGGAGTTACTTGTTGGCGGAAAAATGGTGTTGCACTGCTAGCTAATAGCACAAAGGAACCAATAGTGGTGGATTTTAACTAGCAGTGGGCTAATTTCATGTTGATGGTGGATTAGCTTTCAGGGACGCCGCCTGACCTGAGCCAGATCTTCGATGGAGTAGATGTCGTGGTGCGGCGGTGGCGAGATGAGACCCACGCCCTCGACGGAGTGACGAAGTCGCGCGATCTCCGCGGTGACCTTGTGACCCGGCAATTCCCCGCCCTCGCCCGGTTTGGCGCCCTGTGCCATCTTAATCTGCAGCATCTCCGCGTGCGCCAAGTACGAACTGTTCACGCCGAAACGCGCCGAAGCCACCTAGTGCACGAAAGAGAACGTGTGTGTGAATGAGGGAGAGGCTCTTTGGCAAAAAACAGGCTGTAGAGAGTCGTGATTATTCCAGTCCACTTGCCTGCTTGATTGACGAGCTGAGGGCCGGGTCGAGGTAGCGTTCGGGCAGTTCGCCGCCCTCACCGGTGTTGGAGCGACCGCCGATGCTGTTCATCGCCTTGGCCAGAGCGCTGTGCGTCTCCGCCGAGATCGAGCCCAGACTCATTGCTCCCGTGGCGAATTTCTTCACAATCTCCGATGCGGGCTCCACCAGGTCTAGTGAGATGGGCTTCTCGGCAAACTTGAACTCCAGCTGGCCACGCAGGGTGCATTTGCGTGCGCTCGCGTCGGCTGCTTCGGAGAACTGACGGAAGGCCTCTCGACTGTTGTTGCGTGCGGCTGCCTGTTAAAAACAATGAGTACAATCGTGTAATCTGTGGACCACCAATTCACCGCGGAATGCCCTTCTGGCTTTGGCGACACCCTACCTGAAGTTTGGCAACGGTGGTGGGATTGTTCATGTGTTCCTCGCCTCCCACACGCCAGTGGTAGAAGCCGGGATTGCGAGAGAACAGACCAGAATCCAGCGGCGAGTTGATGCCGTCTCCGCCGGGCTGAGGCGTGGTCACTGTCGAGCTGGCGGTGTGCACCAGACGGAAGGCCTTGGCGTGCCGCGAACACACCTCCGCCGCGAGGACGTCGAAGCCGGCTCCGGAAATGCGCGAGACAGTTCCAGTGAAGCACTTGTCTATGACCTCCTGTGCGAGACCCACGGCCTCGAAGATTTGCGCCGCCTTGTACGATTGGAGGGTGGAGATGCCCATTTTGGCCATGACCTTTAGAATGCCCTTCTCGACGGCTTTGACGTAATTCTTGAAGAAGTTTTCGTCCGTGGACGAGGCAGGATCGGCACCAGTTGGTGTGAGCATGCCCTCTGCACGCAGACGCTGCAACAACTCGAAGACCATGTACGGACAGATGGCATCGGCGCCGAAGCTCAGCAGAGCGCAGAAGTGATGAATTTCCCTATAGTGTTGCAGCAGGTGCTAATGGAGGTGCTTGAATGCGAAGGGCATAATCAAACATCCGCGGCAACTACCATGAGTCTCAAATCTGTTACCCGTAAAAAAAACTTAATGCAGGCTAGATTATGCCCGGGGGGGCAATAAAGCTAGAATAACACGGCGGCAAAAGTTTATGACCTGTACGAACGTAAAGCGACTTCAAAGGGGCTTTGACGGTTTTGGATTGGACAACGACAGTGGTTGCATTTCGCGCGCAATTGACAAGAGACTAAACCCCTCAAGTCAACAATCACCAAAGAGTAGTAGTTATGCATTTGTTAATAGAATTAGCACTGAACGAAACCGTGATTCAGGCAGGCTCGAAGTCAAGACAATCCCGCCAAGACTATGCTTCAGGTCCAGTTCGTTTAGCCGACTACACGCACCTGGCTTCGCCACTTTCCACAATGAGACCGCATTTCATGCGCAGATCCAACTTGAGCAGGTGTTGATGGACAGCGCCGAGTGCCAGCAAAGAGGGCACCGGGACGGTGTCCGGTCCCACCCGCCTGTCGCTGATGATGATGAGGCTGACGCCGTCATCACGCACGGCCGTCTCCGCGCCTCTGCAGAGGTCGTCGAGGCTCCTGCGCAGCAGGTCGCCCAAGTCCGCCTTCCGGGTGCTCCCAGTGATGGTGAAACTGGCCTCAAACAGACGCGAGCGCCATCCGTAGACGCGGCTTTTGCTGCCGTCCCACTTCAATGCGGTGTCGGCGATACGTCGGAAGAGGAGCATGTCGGCAAGCGAAAGAATCGGCTGCTTGAGCCAGAGACGGTGGGCCTGTTCTGGACTTGGTTCTAAGACATTCGCCTCCGGTCCGATTGGGCACTCCTACAACACACGAATATCACCAGTAGGCGGTCGATCTCAAAGCTACCATCTTAGAGCAGCTTCCTACACTCTAACTAAATTAAAGCTGATTATTTAGCGGTAGAATTTGGGTCAGTCACAAATTCTCAACCCATGTCATACAGTATGCCTGCTGCTCAGAATTGCTTCCACAAGATGAGTCAAATGAGGAGATGGTGTCTTCTACGAGCTGTTTCAGATGACCATTTCAACACCGGTTGGAAGGCAGGCGTGGTGCCCGCTTGTACGTACCAGTGACATGACGATCCTCTCGCGGAACGGATCAATCGGCGGATTTGTGACCTGTGCGAAAAGCTGCTTGAAGTACTCATAGACCAGGGGGTCGAACTCGGAAACGCACGCGAGTGGCGCATCGTTGCCCATTGAGCCGAGAGCTTCTTTCCTGAGAAAAAAAGGAGCACTTTATTCATCCAGAACCCACCATTAGCCTCTCTCATGAAATTTTTTGTGAAATACCACCATGAAACACAAAGTAGATATTGAGGATGTTTGAAGGGTGTCGAATTCGACAAGGGTGTCCCAAAGAGCATGAAGACCGAGCTATGGTAACTCTTGTGTTACCTGTACAGCAGGAACAGAGTCCCACAGCCTCTTTTCAAGGTATTGTGAATTTGCGTCCCACATCGGGGTCACTGAAAAATTTCACTTAATTTGTTTTTAATAATCCAAGCTTCTGATAATGAATGGGAGTCGAAACAAAATATTTTTGAAGCTTTTTGCTCAAGCAGAATAGCAGTCTAAATTTTTTGCTTTACCTAGCTAATTATGAGGAAGCGGTGACCAATGAGATGGTACGCGTTAGTGGCAAGTTAAAACTCCGGCCTTAGATCAAACAGAGTACCTACTGAAATAGCTAATTTTCGATTATCCCCTTTGCCCACAACCATGGAACCCGATAAGAAATTAAGGAGAATAGTGTTAGAATGACGAGACGACGTCATGAAGGGAAAATTGTTTATTCAGCTACAAAATGCCTTCAGTTTGGCGACTCAAACAGAAATCAACTCGTCGAATTGCAGACCTCGTGGTGGACGTTGGCGAGGCTCCTTGTGAGAAGTGATCATCGCCAAAACGGAATGACACACTCCCGCCAGAAAACGCAGGCATCATTTTAAGTCCGCTTTGGGGAACATGGGCATTTTCAACCTCTTTTTAGCGTAAGGTAATTAACACGGGTTGTTGTTTATGCAATGCGGCATTTTCGCGGGCTGCAGCAACTGAAAATGCGTAAAAGTAGACAGCAAAACAGCGTCTCCACTAACGGCTGCCTGTGCGAAGGAAAAACAGGGTAAAAGTGAGGCTAGAACATACTTGTTCGTGAGCATAGGGACGAGGAGCATGTTGATGTTCTCAGGAGTGAAGCCGAAGAGCGGAAGACGGTGGTCGTCAACAAACGACGTGCCCATTTCAAGTCCCAACGACTTGTCCAGAAACGAGGCAACTTCGTCCGGATCCACTGGATAGGCTTGATGCAGCTGCTCGAGATCAACGGCCTGACAAGAAATAGGGCCACAATTTACAAATAATAATGGCAATTTGGGACACAGTCAATAGTCACCATGGGTGATCCAGAAAACTACGTCAAATGTGCTTCAAAAGGGGTGGCATCTTACCGCTAGTGCCTCGATTCAACTCATTAAGGTGTGCGAGATATGTCAAAGCAGGATTGGTACTTAGCAGCCGACCCAAGGTCACGTGAGGTCACCAGAACATCGTGATGACTAGGCTAGAGATTTCCTACGCGTATTTTGATGCTGCTTTAGTGTCGACTAAATTCTTTTAAGATTTTGACCTGGTCATCATTCGACCCCTAGAATGAGACTACATTTTGACTAATCTGTACGTCTAAAGATGTTATTAGAAAAACCGAGGGGCATTGCTGATGAAAATTGTCCAAATATGGACACTAGCGACCGCAATTTCCGACAAGATTTGGTCTACTAAACGGAAGTTATAGTGGGTTATAAAAAAACCCACTCCGGTATGCTAGGTGGCGATAAGCATTTGCACCTGGAATCCATAAGTACTCAGGCTACATTGACTTTGTTGTCACCGGTCGTGTTAGCCTTTGAAACGACTCAACAAACCTAGACGTGCATTGGCAGCATTCACTGGAGACCGACTAGTATCACCAGTACCCCAGTCGAGTCTAAGAAGTTTTCTGCGAAGTAGGAAATAGCAAAGAAAATCAAAACTGCCCGAATGGACCAATGCTATTTGAGGAGATACTGCCCGAGGTAGCCCATCTGCTCACAACTGTCGCAGCATGAAGAGCAAATGACGAAAGATTAGATCAGTGAATGACTACGCGCAGTGTTGGTTAGTGAAAGCATTTGCATGGATTGTCGCTTTTAAAGCTGATGGAGAATGTGAAGTTAGAAAGGCAGAATCGTTGGGCACGGGCGCTAGATTAACCAATCAGTAGCGATATCATTTACCAACTGGCCTTTAAACCGTTATGCGTTGTAGATCCGAATGACATCAGTGGTAAAGTCCTCCAACTAACCAAGCCAGCCACAGTTTCGTAAGTTGTCTTGGTCGAAACTTCTAGGTCGCTGATGTCGACTAACAGTTCAACTACATAGTTGCACTGTGACCTCCAAATAATCTACCAGGCGGCCGACATTCCTCCAAATTGTTTCATTCTAAGCCTAACGAGTTGAATCCCAAATCACCGAAATAAGATTCTCACCGAACCTAGTTTCAAGTCAAAATTTGGCAGTTCTGGCAGCACTTCCAATGACCCGGGAGGTCCCGTTGGGTTTGCCAAATTTGCCTCATCCCTCAAAGCCCCAATCTATCATTAACCGAACCACCGAGTATATGCCCTGGTTTTTCATCCTCCGACGTTGAGATTTGCCGTCGATATATCCAGGTGAAACGAAATTTATTTTACCTCAAATATTTATAATCCAAGCGTAAAGTTTTGCAAAGCAATTCCTCATGGTTGCCAATTTATTGAAGTAAACCACTATTTCGCAAGAATAAGGAACCGGTTTAATAATGTGCAGAAGAACAGGAACATTGGCGCACTGAGTTCGCCCACTGGCTGACATTTTAGCGTATTATTTTTCTTGACACCAAAAAGCGGTTACATTTGCGGCTACCCCTTGAATCGACCTTAGCGACCAGGGCAGCACAAGCACACTACCCCCTAAATTGTGCTCAAGTCTGGACACTTTTAAATCACGCGCCTTTGCCTTGTTAGACGCTGACACTAACAGAAATAGCCCACAGACTGCGGAAATTTCGGAAGGCAAATTCCACCTTGGCACGATGCTTCTCAGGCTAGGCATTGCGCGCACCTGCCACAATGGCGCACTCATGCCTCGCCTCACCTTCAGCCTCACCTGCCGCCTCCCCCTGTCATAAACACCGCGTGTTACTATTCCTGGGTGCGCTAGCATGGGCTCTCAGCTCTGATCCCCAGCTTGCCTCCCTCTCTGAGCAGCGTGCGCACGTGGTCTCATCGATTGGCCAAAAAACCCTTAGCAATGCCGATTTTCAGCGCGAGAGATGGGATACACCTGGCAAGGCTTATGCCGTCTCACCCCATTATTGCGACACTGGTTTAGCTATGCTTCACGTTCACTACAAGCTCTGCCAAATCGCACGCTGGACTGCGCTGATTAAGGATGGTATTTCCCACAATTGTCATCTCAACAAGGACATATGAGGGAATTTAAGTGAACTTCCCAAGTTCTGTAAATGGACATAGAACCAAGACTAGGCTGCATAGAATATGCCACAACGATTTGCATAACTTAGACAGCTCGGAACCGACAGACTTGTCGGCAAAAGGAGGCGTGGAAAGTAGGGACATTCTGCCAGACAGCTCACTCACCCCTTCCCGGACCCAGTCGTAGACGGGGTAACGCGAGGCGATTTCCTCCTTCAGCTGCTCGTCGTTGAGGAGTTCGCCAGCCTGGGTGTCGACGATCAACAGACGACCTGGCTTCAGGCGTCCCTTGGCCTTCACGCCGACTGCGTCGGGCAGGTCCACAACACCCACCTCGGAGGACATGTAGATCATGCCGTCGGTGGTGGCGTAGTAGCGAGCAGGTCGGAGACCGTTCCGGTCCAAAATGGCGCCGATGTAACGGCCGTCGGAGAAGACAATCAAAGCTGCCAAAAAAATGTTTACACACCTACTTAGATTTGATTAACTACTAGATGTTTGACCTGAATTTCACAATTTTTTTCTTTGAGCTTATGTTTATATTCAAAATATATACACGATATCCACTTGGAAAAAAGGGTCGCTGGTGTATGTGGTGGGACATGAAGGGTGCACTTTATTGCGAACTGGTAAATGGTCAGACGGTGACTACGGAACGCTATGGCCGACAATTGAACAAACGTGATCAGGAAAGGCCATTTGCTGGGCAAGGAAGCAGGCAAAGCATACTGCTGTTGCATGACAACGCTTGACCACCTAACGTTGCTCGCATGACTCAGAATACCCTCTCGAACTGGGAATGAGAGGTTCTTCTACACGCGGAATATTCGCCAGACTTGGCCCCATCTGTCTACTACTGTAGTTCCTAAAACGCTGGGCGATGCGCGTAAACTCGTCGACGATGACTTGATTGCCCTTGAAGCCTGCAAGTTTCTTTCGCGGCGGCATTCGTACGCTACCTGAGAGACGACGTAGTCATCGAAAATTATGGACAACATTTCCAAGATCAAGTCCGTTGTTCTTTACTTTATGATGGCAAGGAAAATATACTGAAAAATCTCTAAAAATAAGTCATACATCCAAATGTTTTTGGGATACAGTAAAGTGGGCATGGTTGTGCAGTACTCATGTAATGCGCGAAAATTCGGATAGACTAACAAGGCCATGCTGTTTGATGGCTGACATTTAAAAAAAGTAAGGTGGCGCGGCAGCGATCCGGCCGAAATTTGACCCAGATTTTGTGAAATACGCGGAAACTACCTTCGACGCAGCACAAAGCACAGCGGACAAGATAATGAACAACACACCAGGTCCATCCCAGGGTTCAAGGAGGCTGGCGGCCCACTTGTAGAAGTTGCGTTTGTGCTCGGGCATCGATTTGTCGTCGTGCCAGGCCTCGGGGATCATCGAGATAACCACCTCGGGCAGCGATCGAGTGCTGCTGTAGCAGAGGAACTCGAGGAGGTTGTCGAAGCACCCCGAATCGGACATTCCGCTCTCGATGATGGGGAAGAGTTGCTTCAGCCTCGGGCCGAATCTAGTGCTCTCCATGAGGGCCTGGCGAGCCTTGGCATAGTTCACGTTGCCCTGGAAGGCATGAAACGACCTTCTTCGAGATGTTGCCTTCTGCTGGGCCAATCAACACACTTCCACATCGTCTTGTATAACAAGACAGTGGTGTGAGCCAGCAGGCAATGAATTCTGCGTGTGAGTGTTATTTTACTTTACTAACGTAGTAAACACAAAGAAACCAGTTTGACGCGTCAAATCAAAAATATTTAGGATGGAAACGAACTGGCTTTTCGTAGTGACTTATCAAGAAAGTGATTTAGACTTCCACGAATCGAGTCCGCCGTGTTGATTTTGTAGGATTTGTGGCATTGTAAGATTGCAACCGATGAGGTTAGCCGAAATTTGCCAAAGTGCTGTCATGATTAAGTAAATCTCTCGTGTAATGAGCCTTAATCAAATCACTAGGATGCCACAGACAAGTCACAACGCAAATTCCACCTGCAGGACCGTCACAGAAACGCTATGCATTAAAGCTAAAGAAAGAACTTGCCCGAAGCGTGTTGATTTCTCCATTGTGCGCCATCATGCGCTGAGGGTGAGCACGCGACCACGAGGGGAAGGTGTTCGTTGAAAACCGATTGTGCACGATGGCGAAGTGCGTCTTGAAGTCTGGGGATTGCAGATCCTCGTAGTAGTCCCACAGCTGACGGCTCGTAAACATGCCCTTCAATTGAAATCAGCATCATCAATCAATTATTTAAGCATGCAACGGCCTATTTGCTAGGTGAAACAAGTGTGTTAGTAGGCAGCAATCTGTGCCATTGTCGAGTGATTTGGCAACACATTCCAGAACCCTCTAAGACAATAAAATGGGAGTTACACAAACTTGAAACTCCTAGCCAATCGGTGTTCAAAAAACTGAAAAGAACCAACCTTGTAGACAACAGTGTTCGGCGAAAGGCTGCAGATGTAGGCGACATCGTCTACTTCGAACTTGTGCGAAGCATACTTTCGCAGAAAGAAGACCTGTAAGGGGTACAAACAAGTTACCTGGGGTGATACTGCGTTCCGCTGAACCATAATCGGGGCGTGAGATTTGTCTTTGGTTAGATGTAGCACTTTTGGGTTTAAGCGCTACACGTCAGCAAACACGTGGACGTGTGAGCCCACGAACGCGTGATAACGGCATCACCACCATGTTGCAGTGTTTTTCGAAGTTCGATTGTGTGAAGAATAATGAAAATCAAATTCACAGAAAACCTTCCAGTGGAGAAAAATTGAGATTTTAAATTTTCTACAGTGAGATCTGTCGCCTGTATGGACCTCGTCTCCCACAAAACCCACAAAATTCATAAATTAAAGTTAGTTGACGCCTGCAATTGTCGTGTCATTCGACGCAAAATGGCGCCCGAACATTGCTAGTGTTGACACGAATCTCATGCTAAAAAAAGCGCCAAACAGCAGGCCTTCGTGGTTTGGAAGGAAGAGACCCTAAAAACGCAAATAACGACCCGTTTTGCTCCAACTACGATTTGGCATCTGTTGAGGATCCAGGATTCCCCAAGATGGCAAATCGCCGGTTTTTTGTCATTATTTGCACGAATTCACTAACATCTCTGTTAATCCGCTTTCACCCATCAGGTAAAGGTCACTATTGACTTATTTCAATGTTCACTTTCTGACAGGCCACTCGGCATTTGGCTAAGACGATTAAAGTTCTCCGCACGAGCTCTGGTCTTGTTCCTGCATTAGCGTGATAAGGTCGGTTCTAGCGTCAGACAAGGGATCTGGCTACCGGTTATCTCAGTGGGCTTTCCTTGGGCACGAGCAAACGTAACAGCATCATGTAGGCTACTGGGCTAAATTTGAGCGGAATTTCTGACTAGCGGGCAACACACCCAAGACAAGAGCGTCACTGGACGGCGGGTCTGCTATTTCAACGGGAATATATGTCTAGACGCCCGCGACGTGCCAACTCATAACCCAGACTAATGACACAGCGGCGACGGTCAGTTTAGAAAGATACGGTACTGTGTAGTCTAATTATTGTCCAAAATAGGGGTTTGTTTACAGCGTAAATAATTGGCAAGCGCCCTCGTCGTGTGGACTCCGCCGAATTGGCGAGGTTCGGTGAAAAGGGAGTCACCGAAATGAAATTGACGAGGCTGTGCACATTAATGGACATACAATGAAGCCAAGATTCGCTCACCTTGCAAATATACTTCATGTTCTTGAAGTCCTCGTTCTTGTCACTGGAAACGACGAAAACCTGAAATTGGAGGGAACTCGCAATCACTGACCCATCGGTGCGTTGAACCCCAACCTTTGGGAAATCGTGTTGACAGGTGTTGCAAAGTGTAATCATTCTAGTGCATCTCGTAGTCAATTTCAGCGCAGGACACTTCATTAACATGCTTCATTTCTCCTAACTTCATACACTTGTTAATACTAATCCAATCTAATATCGATTAGGAAATTACCTGAATAGTGACTGGCTCTGCGGATGCGGCAACCGTGCCGATTCGAGAGTTGTTCACGTCCGCCTTCCGCCAGAATAGCACCTAGGCGGTAAAACATAGAGTTGTCCGATAATTCAGTGTGTGAGCTACACATTCATAACTGAGGTAAGAACCTACCCGCATTTCGCAGTCGTTAGCGTACACTTCAAAGCGTTGCATTACTTCCTCAACCTTGTCCTTGTCATTGACAAAAATCATTCCGACAGCGAACTCCCCCAGCGGTGGCAGCTCTAAGCCAGCCTCTCTGAAATGAGAACAAGAGTGGTGGTTGAAATGGCCCGTCCTAACTAACTGGACCCATATTCGTCCTAAGGCTGTCACCAGACTCTAAATAATCAATAGCTGGCAATACAAGGAAGTATTCTTCGACAAAGCAAACAGAAAATCGACTCAAAACTTGCTTGGCGAAGCGTGCGTAGAGTTCGTAGGGGATGCCAGTCATGACGCCCGCACCGTCACCAGTCTCGTCGTCGCATCCACACGCTCCGCGGTGTTCCATGCGGTTGAGCATCGTGTTGGCTTGTTCAATGACCTAAAACGTTTGCGCAGATTCGCCAAATATAAAATTCACATTGAGAACACGAAAGACGTTTAGTAGGGAATACGAGGTGTGGAGCGAAGTGCCTACAAACCTAGCTGCGTTTATAACAAGTCCGATACAACTTTTGAAACGGACGCATGCAAAGGATAACTGTTACTGTCATGTCACGTTTACGGAAACCGTAGATATTCTGCAATACTGCCAAATCCTATACCAGCTTTTTACGTAACAGATTTGAGGACTGGAATGAACACGCACTGTCACTTCCTAACATATCGCTCCCAGGTCGAAGGCTTCAACGAGCACAAACGCATCACTGCACCTTTAGTGCTGACTTTAACACTGGTAGGAAGATTTGACACGAAGTTCTTTGCCCACAACACCCCACTTCCACGAATGGTCATGGAAGCGTTATGTGCATGACAGCGGAAGACTTGGAGTAAATGAAATAGATCCACCTATTTTCCTTAAAGTTCTTATATCTCTTTTGATAAAGAACCACTCAATTAAAGAATGGCTTGTATATCAGGCTTTGTCCAAATCTTCTACGTGTTTCTTTTCTGATCGCCAAAAAAGTTGAAACAGATCAACTTCCTTGCTTACTGATTTTGATTTAGACAGCTGCATATTTATTGACGCCGTTAAGGTTACATTGATTAAGTCTTAGATGATTTAACTAATCCTCTTGATGCGATTGCTGTACTCTGCAAACAAATCTAACCAGACAATAAGAAGCTTTTCTCAAACTAGAAGACAATGCGTTTTGCACAATTCAACGAAACTAAAACGACGGGTCAAGATATCACAAACACCACTAATTTTCATTGGCTGATTTTACTTAGCAGTTCAGACTTGTGTATTTGACCTCAGACGTGATGAAATCAAAATTTGCGGCCCACAGAATTCGTTTACTTTTGCAGCCAGCGACCAATGTACTTTTGTGCATTAACTCCCAGTAAAAATAATCAGCCTTTCAAATCATCAAAAACTCTTGTCCCGTGCAGAATCGTATAACCCAACGGATCAGCCAAATCAGTGAATTTCTGTGCCACTTGACTCAGCAATAAACAAGTTCGTGGTGTTATTGATTTTCTGCCCGAGCACTGATCGATTGATTTTGCCATCTTAACTGCGCCAAAATGAAGCTGGACTGAATGCGCTCAGCCGGTTAACACAACAATCTGGCTACGTTTTAATGCGCAGAACGAGTCTTCAAGAACAAGGGTCATTTCTCTAACATGATATTTTATTCCCAGCCTCAAGACATCGCTTAATTTCAGTGTGTCACAAACCCAGGCAATTCTGTCATCCAAGGTAATTAACAAAGCATTCTAACAATGAGTCATGTCGTCTGATTATAGAATTTTTTCCGCATTAAGACGGTAGATTAGTGCTTTAATGCCTGACGAGGTCGTTTGTCAAGGCTTATACACAAAGTGCAGCGCTCGTGATGGGAAAAAGTTGTAAATTATGATGAGCCAAGTAAGTGTGACCTTTATAACATTTACGCGACTCTTCGAAATCGTAGATTCGAAGGGCTAATAAGAATCACAGGAGTACTTCCTGCTGCAGAGGAAACGTCGTAAATGTGGTGAGAAGAGTAGTTGCCGAAAATGGCGAAGTTGCAATCGCGAAAGCTGGCCTTCAGCACGCTGCAACCGACCCACAGAAATATCGCGCCTCCGTGACTAAGCACAAGCGGGCAAATGCAGAATGGACGAGTGGGGAGCAGGCACGTTGCAAACGCGTGCAAGAAGCCAGCGCTTACCACGTGCGTTTAACGCGCCGTGATAGATCTGTTATAGACGCATTTTCGTGACATTTTCTACTATTCCGAGTTGATATCGTGCTAAATTAAAGATCAAATCATCAATGCCACCTAGGTGACCTTGCCAAAACATGTGGATCTGACTGATGACTGTCCTCGAACGCTGGGTTAGTTAAAACATTGGATCGTAAACAGTTTTATAAACGAAAAACCATACATTCTGCGACATCATGTGCCCCATTTTGCGAGAAGGTAAAAAAGGGCCGAACTATGATTTTGAAAGAAATGATACAAAATACAAACAGGAAACATGTAAAACCTATTTTAACCAAGTTTCCTGTCGTCATAAAAAACTTGCAAACTGCTTGTAAGTAGGCATTATTTGACTTACAATAGGAGAGCGTTCTCCGTGGACATTGGCAACAAATCCCACACCGCAGGCATCGTGTTCCTCGCGAGAATCAAATAATCCACATTGGTAGTGCTTAAATCTCTTGTCGACGGACATGTCGGGAACCGAAAACGTCAACTACAACCAAGCAACTGAGCGACTAGTTAAGCTATGACATGCGCATGCACGTGTGCACACGATTTGATTGGTCAGGCGGGTCATCCCATTAGGATGCAGTTCTGATTGGTCAGTGGTTCAGCCAGTGGCTGCATGGCTAAATTTGCTTTTGCCAATTCCTTGTTAATTTTCAAGGTCGACCCAGCATGTCGCTTATGAAATTCGCAGAGTGGACGGGATCTGGCTGGTTTTGTGACTGCCAATATTAGTTGCTTATCTATTGGCTTGGCTAGCGAAATACGAAACACGTGCACCTCCGCATTCAAATGTATGCTTTTTAAAAATATATGTTCTTTCATTGGTTGTTTTGCTATTAGTTTTCTTCGTCTTGGTGTAATAGCTCTCTATGTCGTATGGAAAGTGTCGATGTTCATCCGGTTATTAGGCTTTCACAAATGACTACGATACATTCTCGGCCCCAAAACACTAATTCCTCTCGTGTTTCTCAGTGGATTTCGATAACTTTCTCAAACAAGGTTAGGGCTGTAGGTAACAGAATGTTCCGACGTATTAACAAACGCGTTTAGCATTTCTGGTGAGGAGTTAATCAAACCACAGAGGTGATTTTGCCAAGACATGTAGATCCGACTGATGACTGTCCTGGAATGCAACCATTACGACAGGGAAACTGCTAGTTTCGATTGCACCCATGTACTTTAGGCTCGCTTTAAAGTCCTACCACAAGCACGATCAACTCACACACCTTTTCTAGTCCACACCTCTGCTTGAATACACGACTCCTGTGCGTGATACCGTGACGCGGCATTGATAACGTAGCGTGACCTCAGACAATTGAACTAGGCGTCTGAGCGCACACGTGTGCGCGCATGCTAGCCACGACGTCCGTCTCTAATCACTATGGTTACGGTTTAATATGTTAACGGACAAAGGAAACTGTTCCCCAATCTTTTTCTTGTACGGGGTTTTTCGTACAAAGCCATGCAACGGAAATTGTCCGAAATTTCTGGTCCTTCTTATTCTGATTTCGAATTTATGCGAAAGCGATTAGTTTAAGCAAGCGTTTAGACAACAGTAGATCGCAAATGCAGTTGGTTATATGATTAATTCTATGTTGTATGGTGTTTTTCAATGATACCGACAAAATGAATGCCTCTGTAACTGGTATTCCAAGCAGCCATGGGATTTTAAATCATTTGTGTGTTAGAATCCTTCCCACAATGTAAATCATGTGTCTTTGGCGTTTTTACTGCAAATTGACCATACTTGGATTCCTTCACAATATCGTCAACGTCTCAGCACGATCGTCCATGTCACTTAAGTTTCCAAATTAAAGAAAGATTCTGCGAAAGCACACTAGTTCAAGACACAAAAAATCGTCTAGTTGAAATCATTGAGCTGCTTGGGAAGTTAATTATGGATTCCTTCTTATACCAGGATCACGAAAGATGTATCTCTTGAAGTGCTACCCAATGGAGTTCCTGGTTTGTTCTTGTCCCCATGAAGTGCCACTCTTTCACGATTGATGCCTTTGAAACTATTATAGATGTCACAATTGCGGGCCATTTTCCACATCTTTCCAGCACAAGTAGAACCGACAATTGCCAATTCGATTGGTTTGATTCCCGCGCAGTTTTGAATTAGTTCGGATGCGCTGCAACGGCCAAACTGGACAACAAATATATCGTTTAAACAGGAGGCTACAATAGGTGAGTGGATACGCATCGATCGTTTTGATCCCGGTGCACGAAGGCCAGCGCCCAAGCCGTCCTTATTCGACTAACAAGGCGTGTTTACAAAGAAAGACACCGCGTAAACTTAACTAACAACGCAATGTCACAAACCTGGTCGCCAAATTTGTTTGTGAATAAATCATGGCGTGCATTATCTTGACAATGAATTCTTGAGTTTGGGCGTCTAGTTGTCGGTTGCCTAGTTTGGCCTACTAGGATAATTTTAGCAAACTACTTTAGTCAGAGATAAATTTCAACCAGAGGACGCGTGATTCGACAAGTTGGCACTTTCGGGGCACACATGACCAAGTTGATTTTTACCACAGGAAAAGCGTAATTTCTACCATCGTCGTTTTGCTACATTGACTATCAGTCAGCAAATAAGTCTGTGGTATCAAGTGGGATCGGAATGATGGGGTCTTAATCTCCTTCCACATCAAGCCTTCATTCGTCAGAATGCAGTGTTGAAGCTGCCCCTACCTCAAGATTAACGAAATATCCACCAACAACTCATAGATTACCAATGCAGGAATGGTGGCTCCAAGACTTGTGTACTTGATTTTTTGTTGATGTATTTATCGGGTTTAAACCACACCTTAAAAGCCGTCACGAGTGTAAACATAGCGTCGTGTGAATCTGACCTCGTCGTTTCGTACTAGGTTTTGCGGTGTTCCACTACTGTGGTAGCTGAACAAAAAAAATTCTGGTATATATAAATGCACAAGCGGAATTCAAGTGACAATATAGGTACAACATTCCACGGAGCTTCGAATCACGGTTGAGTCTTCGATTCACACCACTAGAATAGGAAATATTTGTTTCCTCTATCCTGATCCAACAGATTTGCAACCATTTTAAACTGGTACATTCTGTCTATGGATCTTCATGTTCCTGAATATCACCGTCCCACCATACCAGCCGCAAAATATACCTTAATTAAGTCGTTAACTAGTTGTTACTTAGAAAGTGTTACTACTTCATTCAAAATTCTTGAAATCCTTTACGCCTCTGTTTCGGGTGCATTTCGAAAATTGTCCACCTCTACTTGGAACGCCATTATTTCATTAGCAAGTCATATAAGGACTTTCTCACTGTCGTGGGTGTATGATTT